TAAATTATTGAAATAAAATTAAAAAGAAATTATAAAAATAATATAAATTACTTTTTATATCTTCAAATGATTTTTTTTTCAAAGACCTAAATCCATTATCGAAAGGCTATTAAAATAAACCCATTATCCAATACTTATGTAAATTTTCCAATCACAAGGATCATAAAAGTAGATGTTGGATAAAAACTTAATTATAACATTGCAATTAACTTTTACTGTAAAATGAACATAAATGTTTCACTATTTTTCCCGTCCAAATATGAAAAGAAACTCCGTTGTACTTTTGTTTTCTATTGTATCTTTCAAACACAAGGTAAAATTTAGACGTCAATTTGCAATGAATGATGAAATACTATTTGCTATGACAATGTGTCCTGCACTTTGGTTATTTTCGCTTTGACTTTTGTTCAATTCTAGCAAGTGAATATTTAACAATATTGATTGGATCTTTGTTATAAGTTAAATATATCTTTAAAAAGAAAAAGGAAAATCATTAGAAAGGGTTGCCAGCGACAAAGTGTCATTTCTATTTTTGAATGGCTTCATCTTCAACCTCATGTATACTCCAACATTGATCTGATTGTGATTTCAGTGAACTTATAAGTTATATCAGCATTTGTAATGACTTCAAACTTCTAACAAGACTTGTCATACTACGATCTTGCGGGTACGCCCCTTATGCATGAAAGATGCATGGCTTTGCTGTAAAATTTTTGCATGAGAAATAAAGAGAAAAGTTGTACATCGTTGAAATCAATGTGGTAAAAACAATCCTTCAAATATTTATAATTTCCCAAAATACTGTTTTTACACAAACATCCCTCAATTTTGCAAAACCGAGGTCTGATCATGTTACCATGTGAACTTACGACCAGCTACCATAGACACTTTTGGCAAGACCAGCCCGTAGCAATCGCAAGAGGTGTGAAATCTAAGAGTATTCAAGTATAAAAAATCGATTAAAAATTTATATTAAATTAAAGAAACTATTATTAAAAAAGCAAAAAGTTGTATTTTTTTTTTACAATTTGATTCAATTTTTAATTTTCAACTTTAAAAATTCAACTAAATTATAAGGTCACAACAAAGTCGACTTTATAGTTTTTTTTATTAAAAAGTATTGTAAGTTAACGACAAAATCTACTAATAAATATTTCCCAAAACCTAAGCTACGGTTTCTCATTTTTTTTAAATCTTAAATAAGTTCTAAAGGTTAGAATCATAATATTACCTATTAATATAATGTTAATATAAGAACTAAAAAAAAACGAGAGTGATAGATTCACTCTTTAGTCTCTCAAGTTAACTGATTAATATCTGATCATCTTATGTTAATCAAACTGTGGAAAGCCTTGTGGGAACAAAACTTATTCATTTTCACAAAATTTATTCATTTTGCTGTATTTCCATTAATCCAAAATGAATAAGTTTTGTTACACAAGAATAATGCACCTCCTTTAAAGTAGGACATTTTGCTGTTGTGTGAAGCTTGGTAACAATAAAAAATAATAATTTAAAACTGTTTCACACTTTAATAACTTGATAGACTAAAAAGAGAAACTATCCTTCTCATTTGTCTTTATTAGTTCTTATATTAACATTGCATTAATGGTTGACATTATGATTTTACCTCTTATAATTTATTTAAGATTTAAAAAATGAGAAATTGTAGCATAGTTCTCATTATTAGTTCTGATGCTCTCGTTTTGGTTTTTTATTAAAGATCGAAGACCACGAGGTACATAAGGTTTCTTCAAGCGCAAAGGCTGTAAGATCAATCTTTGCTCACAATTTGTGGTAACCACTAACTAGAGAAAATTTTGCACTTGAAAAGAAAGAAATAAGAACAAGAAAAATGAATAACATTACATCTTTTTTTGTTTGGTTGAAAGGAAAGTGAAATGAAAAATGAACAAACTATGACTTTTAGAAAGAAAAATAAATATTCATTCATTTTTCCTTCATTTTAAAACTTTTTATCTTTTCATTTTTGACAAATATACCAAACTTAAAATGAGATTATTTGCGCACTTTTAATTAGTTCAAAAAATTATCAAAGTTTGAAGCTGTTTTAAAACTACTTTTATTGTTATTAAGCATCATGCTCCTCTAACAAGACAAGAATAAAACGAAATGTCCTTCTATAAAAACGGTAATTTCATTGATCATATTCGCAAAGACATATAAAATGAAGAAATTTTGTTCAGACTAGGCTCTTTTAAGAGTCTGATTAGCACAACTAAAGAGTGATTTTATCCCTCTCGTTTGTCCTTATTAGTTCTTTTGTTAAATTTGCATTAAAGGGTAATGTTATGATTCCACCGCTTAGAATATATTTATGATTTTAAAAAAAATGAGAAACCATAACTTAAGTTTTGAGAGATAATTATTAGTTGTATGATTCCACCGCTTAGAATATATTTAAGATCTAAAAAAAAAAATGAGAAACCATAGCTTAAATTTTGAGCAATAATTAATAGTTGACTTTGTCGTGATCTTGAAGCTTTTCTTTTTTTTTTAGATTGAAGAGTTTAACTTGAGAAACTAAAGTGTGAATCTATCCATCTCATTTGTCATTACTGATTCTTATATTAACACTACATTAATGGGTGACATTATTATTCTACCGCTTAAGATTTATTCAACATTAAGAAAAAAAATGAGAAACTGTAACTTAATTTCTGGGAGGTTTACTTTGTCGTGACCTTGAAATATGTTTACTCTAACTTTTTTTTTTTTGCTTAAAAAGAAAGTAAAAGAAAATAATAAGGTTTGACCTTTAGAAACAAAAACTCAATCTTTTCTCTTTCATTTTCCCTTCAATTTCAAAATTTTTCATCTTCTCACTTTCCACAAATATTACCAGTAAAATTAAAAAATTTGCATTTAAAATGAATTTATGTATGCACTTTTACTTCAAAATCTTTATAAAGTGTGAAAAAAATTAAAATTATTTTTATTACCATCAAGCTTCAAGCAATTCTAACAAGGCAAAAATACAACAAAGTGTTCTTTAAAGAAGATATTTGCATTAATCATGTTCGCAAATATATAAAAAAAAATATATTCACATAAGACTCTTGTTAACATGATTAGCACAAAATAATCACAAACATACCGGTATAATTGAATGCATCCATCTCATTTGTCTTTGCTAGTTCTTATATTAACAATTCTTTAAAAGGTTGCACTATGATTCCACCGCTTGGAATATATTTAAAATTTTAAAAAAAAATGAGAAACTGTAGCTTAAATTTTGGAAAATATTTATTGGTTGACTTTGTCGAAACCTTAAAACATTTTTACTTTAATGCTATTTTCGGGGTAAAAGGAATGAAATAAAAATAAAAAAACAGATAACGATATATGTTTTTTTTATTTAAAAGAAAAAGAAAAAATATTTACAAATAAAAATTTAAAAGATTTTGTTCTTTACAAATATTTTTAATGAAATTGTTCCAAGTGGAGTTCTAAATCTAGTATATATACTATTGACCTGTTTACTTATCATGTGTAACGTCGATGTACAAATCTCAATACAGGTTAATTCTTAGTTGGATAAAAGTGATTTTTTTGGAACATCCTGAAAATGAAATTTAGACACCACCAACGCGTAACTAACCTAGTCTTGGGTGAAGGTTAATTTTTTTATTACCAACTAGTTTCTTACATAACTTTCTTTCAATCTTAATCATACAGTAATTATTAAGTGGATGTCCATGTGATAAATGTTAACCACACACATTTAACTTAAATAATAAACTACAATAAAAGTGAAGCGATTAAAATGGAGGAGCGCACATCAGATCAAATTACTATAAAATGGTAATAATAGAATTTATTAACAAAGAACTTGCATTTAATGACCGGCCAATTTGATAAACTTAAGTAATTGTTTTAATCTTTATGTAATATTTGCAGTTAAACCAAAGGTTTGACATATCGATGTAGTGAGCCATCTTTGTGAATCTCTACGGCGAATTCAAAAGCTAGCTTCCTCAACACAACGATCCATAGTTAGGGTCACATTATGAATTCCCCATACATTTGACAATTGATGAAACTGGTAAAATATTTAAAAGAAGAATAAGATCATGTCTTACGGCATGAGGAAGAACATCTTCTAGGCTTGAATATGAATATGCGAATCTTTTGAGGTGAGAATGGAAATTAACAGTAACCTTAAATAACTCGAGATAATTTTGATTACTTCTCTTTGTTACGTTTAATCAAAGTTTTTTTTATTTTAATCATAACCAATTGACTTCACCAAAGTGGCGTGCAAATTTACTTTGATAAAAATCGTTAGGTTAAAACTTGAACAGAAATTCACTTTCTCTATTCTCTGTTGGGAGATAAGGTTTCTAAATATCACTGATCATCACATCATATTATCATGTGCTCCAAAAGGAAAAAAAGAAAATCAATGTGAAACAAAAATTCTCATTCATGGAAATTAAAGGCCAAAAGAATCATCACATCACTTTCATTTTCCAAATCAAAATTATTTTATATTCTCCACTTTATCTACAAACAATCACATTGACAGAAATCATTGATCAAAGAGGAACGATTAAAATTAGGAGAAACATCAAAATGCATGCTTTTATTCATTAAAAGAAACAATTATTGAAAACTTGATACGACTAAAATTACAACACTGCTTTCTTATTTTTTGGTTTATCACAACAAACTCAAACAACAAAAACTAGACACAATCACTGTCTCGGCAGGACCACTCCTCACCCTCCCAATTAAACAAAGGCGAAATCCAACACCATCTCAATTCTCAACACACGGTGAACGAGTTAATTAAAGTTAATCTAATCTAACACACGAAGAAGATAAAAATCAAAAGTAACAAACCAAGAAAAGGACATCCAATACTTAAGAATTAAACAAATTATATAATAATAATAATAATTTAGAGAAAGAAAAACACTAAAGAGAAACGTAATTAAGAGTACAATTACAAATTACAGTCTTTGATTGTTTTTTCTTTTTTGGTTTCTCTTTTTATTTATCCTTCTGCCTCGCTGGCTCACTCGGTTACTGGCTCACTCAAGTCCAAGTTCAATCAAACCCTCTCATCTCATCTCATCACTCATTCCCAATTAATCTACAGCGTCCATCCAATTTCCTAACTCGGTGGGACCCAGTGAGTCAACTCACTAAGACTCACCGGCGGGAAGCTTCCACGCGGAGGTTGCGATGAGTGGCCTCGTGTGCCACCCAAGCATGAGACACCCATTATTCTCCTCCACCCTATAGCCATCACCGCCGGCGAAAAGAGCCAACAACATGCTAGCTTGTTTGAAAGCATTAGACCCGAGATGAACCGGGTCGAATCCGGCCGAGCCCATTCTCCCCCTCCACTGAGTCAGAGGCTCGTGGCGCTCGACCCGGTCCACCCCTTCACACGCCACTATGTTGCATATTTGTCTCCCCAGGTAAAGCTCCGACATCAACAGGTCCTGACTCGGTGAACCCAACCCGGTCGAAGAGGACGATCCCTCCAGCGAGTCAAACAAACTCGAGTAGTAATGCAGGGCCTCCGTGAACCGGTCCTGAAAAACCGGTCCATTATGGTTCGCTTCTTGCTCCACAATGATCACAATCTTGGGCTTAATTTTCTTCACAGTGTTCAACACTTTTTCTATGGAACCGGGTCGGGCCAACATGCGGTGAAGCTCAAAAACAGAGTTTACAGCGACGGCTTCACCGGGTCGGACCTCGAGCATGGTCGGGTCAAGATCCGCCAAACTGTTGCAAACGAATCCGCGAAACTCGAACTGAACGCCAATGGTTTGGGCCAACTCGGCCAGCTTCCAGCCCACTTGCTGAAGCGAGTCGGTGTTATCCGGCTGAGGAGGACCGATTCCGGTTAACCGGAAAGTAGGAGGGCCACCGGGACGCAATGCGAGGGCCTGCATGAGCGCCGGCCACTGCATCCCCTGTTTGAGTCCAAAATCGATGACGTGGACCCTCCCGGCGGTGGCAAAGGCCTCGAGAATGGCCTGGTTGGCGGTGAAGTGCGCGAATTTCAGATAGGGACAGGACTCGTAGAAGTGCATGTGCAACATATCGGAGAAAGGGGAATCGAGGGTTTCCTCCGGGAATATTCCGTAGATTCGGCGCGCCAAGGCTTGCGCGAAATACGAAGCCACTTTTCTCATGGCTCCTGCTTGCGAAGCCGCGAGAAGACCTATGTGCTTGACGAGCGTGTCGGCGAGCTTGAGATTCTCTTGCTGAACGGCTTCAGCGCAGGCCAAGATAGTGTGAACGAGACGAACCCCCGTTACCTGGGAGTCAACCAGAACAACGGGTCTTGTTGACTCTGATAAAGTCCCCGCCGGTGGCACGGACTCTGGTGACTCAATTGGCGACGCCTTGAACCGCTTGTTACCTGTTTCGGTTTCGGTTTCGGTTTTGGTGTGGTTGTTTTGTGGAGGGTATGCGGCTATTCCGGGAATGGCTCTGAGGTCGTATTCAGAGTCGTCGTTGAGGATGGAAGAAGGGTGGTGTAAGGGGTTATCGATTTGGGGGGTTTCCAAGAGAGAAGATGGATCGAGGATGGATGATGATGGATCAGGGTTGAGTTCGTTGAGCATGCTTTGCACCCATGAAGATAGATCCGCTGGGTCGTAGTGAACGGTGTCAGAAGCCAGGTGCGAAATTCCCTCTTCCTGAGCACTGCCCATCACCATATCCAACAGCTCAAGCTTCTGTGCCACGTCAGCCATGTCCGAAGAACGCACCTTGTACCCCAACGCCGCCAGCAACTCGTCATTCCCTCCCTGTTGCTCTTCCTCCCACATCTTCTTCCCCTTGCCGCTCGACATTGACGAGCTTTCTTTCATGCCGTACCCTCCTCCTCCACCACACCTTTCTTGCTGTTCCCTCTTCATCACGACACAGATCACAAATCACAGTTCCAATTGGGTTGTTTGGTCATAGCAAAATTTCAGAGCTTAAGAGAGAAAAGGGGGGAGAGAGAGAGAGAGAGAGAGAAGGGTGGAAAAGATAAGGAGCAACGGAAGCCATAATAATGAAATTGGTTTTATGATTAATTAAAATTAAAATTAACGAAAAGGTGAGTTTGATATTTGGGGGTAGTAAGAAAAAGGAGGGAGTGTGCGCTAAAAAATGAAGGTCCGGCAAATACTTAAAAGGCATAAAAGAGCCGTGGCAGCACCGCAATGGCAAGAAAGATGCCCATGATAGTGTACAGCTCGTGCATACACCAGACACCATACACTACAATATCAGGTGCCCGTACGCTTCCATCTATTCAGACTCTTGGGGACCGAGAATCATCCTGGGCTCCACCTCAACACACACTCCCACTCTCCCTCTTGAGCGCGTCCCTCACTCTCTTCCCTTCATTAACCAAATTAAGCAAATCGTTTAAAAAGGGAATGCCCAATTGCACTCCACAATTATCATTTCATTGCCCTCCATCATTTTTATTTGACTTTAAATTTTAATTCCGGTTAATGTCCCCTCACTCATTATTTTTTGGTACATTTCTGTCTTGTCTTCCCTCCACACGCCCACCACGTGCGTGGGGTGGGGATGCTGCTCTCTTCACTCCCTCACTCCAGTATCCCATTAGTTGTACTATAATCAATATTTCTCTTTAACGCCTTCCAATATCGTTTCATTAATTTTATGTCACGAATAATCCTCGTCAAGTGAGAATTTCAGCATCCATAGTTATATCAAGCCAAGTGGATACTCGTATTTATGCTCCACCCTTCTAAAAGATGTGACCCCCAGGATTTCCTAATTTTGTTATTTCCTCAATTTACTTTTCCTAAATCCATCTTAGAGAAGGGAGAGCATTTATTTTCATGCGAAATGACATATAATTGTGAGTTTGGCATTTATTCACTCATCTTAAAATACCGCTTCCCTTTTTTCCTCACGTAGCCTTGCTATTTTAGTATCATGCTTTCTTTACTTTTGAAAAGTTCTTTTCCCTTTTGTCATTGTTGCTGCTGCTAATTTTTTATATAATTTTGAAATGGTTATTTATGTTTGAAAATAACAAATTTTAAATATCTTCGTTAGAAGATGAAATAATGCAGCAAGTCATTGTTTAACACAAAATGATAATAATGAAAAAGAAAACTCAACTCTGAGGGTAGTGTTTGTATGAGGTGTGGCCTATGGCAAGTATGTGTGGTCGGTCGGGTTCCGTAGGTTCGAGTGGGGAATAACATCTCGCTACGCACATGAAGGAGAGATCAAGGGGACGGGTCAACTTTGGTCTCCACGCGCCACGTTCCCACGCCAAACCCAAACAGGGAGTGAAAGACAGCTACCGAACCAAATGGCGACCCCTTGAGGCGTGTGGTTTTCACGCGTTACATGAGCGATGGTGAATGAGAGAAGAGCTGAGTTGCAACGAGGGCCCACACAAAGAGGAGTCTGTGCTGAGAGGAGATCAACGAGGACGGGGATTCAGACGTCAACATCGATTTTAGGACCATCCGACGTGGGACCCACTGTCCAAAAAACAAAACATGACTACTACTCTCTCTATACCGAAAGAAAAGGGCTGCCAGCACAGCACGTCCCTTGTTAACAGCGTTATCCTCTTTCTTTTTTGTAAACAACACTTTTTAAATAATTACCCTTTTTTTAGAAAATTTCATGCTCCGTCTTTAAAATAATAAAACTCACCAATATGCACAAAACTCTGTTATGGAATTACTGAGTTATATGCAGTTTAATAAATTAATTTGAATTTATAGACAAATAAGAAAAACGGTCCGTCCAGAGACAACGGCGTTATTTGGGCGAGACTGTGTAAAAAGGACGTCCCCCGAAGTGCTAAAGGGTGGCGTCCTCATCCGGACGGTGACGTTAGGAGCCGAACACCAACACGAACGAATACGGGGCTTTGCTTTTGCTCGTTTTTTTGTTCTCAGCAAAGCTTATTTATATTTCAACGTAAATTAATATTTTATAAAAATTATATTTATAATTTATAAAAAAGAGACTTGATGAACGACATGTTATGAGAATTAAATAATTCTACACTCTTTTTATCATTATTACAGGAAAAATGATTATCGATTTGGTTTGATAATTGGAAAGAAAAAGATTGAAAGGAGGAGGGAGAAGCGGCACTGACAGGTGGTGTGCTCAGTGATATATGAAAGAGGAGAGGGCCATGACCATGTGATTCTGCCACGTTTCACAGATTCCCTTGTCCCCGTGGTCCCTCCCCCTGCACCACCCTCACTTCCTCACCCTGCTTCCTCTCTGTATCACTTTCAGCATCTCTCTCTCTCTCTCTCTCTCTCTCCTCTTTACATTTTTTTTTACCTTCCCTTCCAATTAATCTCCATCATAGTTTTTTCCGGAATTAACCTTCACATTAAGTACTATCCAATTCTAAAACAATGGTCAATAAAATGGACATGTGACAGTTGAGATCATGCTATGATTAAACAAACGGTTGTACTAACCGTGCCTCCAATCAGTAATGACCAAAGAGACATAATCTCAACATCAATTATGGGGTACCCATGATTTGGTTTAAAGTAAAGAATTTATTTTAGTCTCCTTCCCGCATTTCATGTGACATCAATTCAAGAAACTCTACCAACACTATACTTAAAAGCCCTTTATTTACAACAAATATTCTCGTACTTCCTTCCATTCTTCAACCACTTCTCATGGGTCTTATGTGAGTATCCTTTACACTCACACTGTACTTCATTAACGTTAGCAAATAACTATTTAAGAGAAATTAAAATTATGAAATGATACAATTTGAGGCAAATCCCTGAAGCTTGGTTAAACTATAATGAAAGGTTGTCCCCCACTTCAAAAAGTGAACAACTTTGCGTATTAGTTTGTTTAATGAAGAGGATTCAGAGTTTCTTCGTAGAGAGGGTGGTTTATTCTGGTGTTGTAAATAAACACACACACACATGCGTATTGGGGTAGAAGGCATTGTACAACTCAAACCCAACAGCCCCACAAGAAACCCGTAAATGCAAATGCCTTATCCTGTTTGTGTTTGTGTTTGTGGGAAGTGGACCTTCAGCTTTAGTTCATCATCAAATTACCACTGTGTTGAATCGCCAGAGGAATTGCCGACAGAGTCAATGCTCATTTCTTCAATTATGCCTCACGACCATCTTACCTACCTACTGTGCATGCACTACTAGTGCTTCCATCTACAATTCCAAATCTTTTTCGTTTCAATTACAAACTGGACTAGTCTTTTCGCACGCATGCAGATCAAACACAGTGCGACAATATTATCATATTTTATATTATCTTCTTTTCCAAAATTAATATGTATTGTCTTTAGTTTTGTATTTATCTTGTTTTATTTGGAAAAAAAAACAATAATAAAAACATGCATTATGTATTAAAAAATTACTTTATATTTAAATCGTATTAATTGTCACAAATTACATATATAAATGCAGTTTGAAAGATTTACTTTTTCTTATACATCTTTTAGAGAATTTATTATTGTTGAAGAGGTTTGTATTTTTAATATAGACAGCCTCAGTTACGTATAGATTTGAGATGTTCCAAACAAGTTATAATGGTGTAACAGTTGAAAGGATGATTGAGCAGATCGAGTGTAGTTTATTAACATTTTACACGTGCATGTATTATCTGACACCTGCATTGTTATTATTATAATTATAATTACCTTCGCCTTATCTTATGTATACTTGCAATTTAATTTGTGGGAGCAATATGAAACAAGCATTGCTATGAGGTAAAGATCTATTAAATCATTGGCATTACAGATACGATCTGTTAACTTTTTATAAAAGTATTATTCTACGTACTATGAGAAAATAAAAGTTATTTTAGATAATTTATCTTGTTAATATAATATTGGTTCAAATAAAAATGAAGTAGCTAATATAAAATAAATGTATCACAAAACAATTTGAAGCATCAATTAGGTGTGTATTTATATAATATATCAGATTATTGGTGTAAACTTGTGGTATTTAATTTGATGATTAATTCTTATTACATAAATCCTTAAAATAAATATAAATTTAATGATTAATTATTCCTTTCATTAACATTTTTGTAAAAATTTTTTTATCAATTCATTTAAATTAAATTTTATTATTTTTCATGGTTCCTTTTATGCCTTTCGTGACTTTCAGAATTATTCGACCTTTAAAATTCTCTGTTTTTTTTTTTTTACAATTACTTTATAATTTTAAATAAATAACAATAAAAGTTCACTAATTAACTAATTTATGAATAAATTAATAAAAAAAAAGTACCTATTACCTATGTTAATCGTAAATAACTAAAAATAAGAATGTACATAAACAAAGTACGCTTAAAATATCATAATTTAGTCATTTATAGATTTCACCCATAATGTATTTAAATTTTATATTAATAATATTAGTAGAAGATACTTTTAAATTTTATGCACAAGTGGGTGCACGTGCACACACATAAACATAAATATATAAGATATATACCATACTTTATGTTTTGATAGATTATGATTTATTTTAATAGATAAAACATTAAAATTTTTAATTAAACAATTAAAATGTAATAACGTTTATATTAAAAATTATGAATCTATAATTATATATGTTTAACAATTAATTTTGAATTTAAGTCTTAGGTATATAATTATATTAAATTTTTAAAATAAATATTTTATTTTTCATAATAATTTTAATTAATTTAAGCATATTATTCTTTTATATGAAAGATACATATTTATAATCTCAAAAAATAAAAATTTTCAAATCAATTTTGTTTTACTAAAATTATTACACATGTTTTTTAAGTTTTAATTATTTTATATTTGTTGAAATTATAATTTCATTCTTATATTTTGTTCTTTTTTGTATATTATTAAAAATTTAAAATTATCATGTGTTTAGTATTGCATGAAATGATAAAAAAAATTATTATAAAATTACTAATAAAAGCGTTTATGTTATAAGTTAATTAAACGAATGATCTTATATGTTTGAAATTGTATATAATTATACCGTTTAAAAAATTGTAGAAGTACTAGATTAAAAAATAATAGTTATATAATTATATAAACTAAATATGAATGAAAACTACAGTATTTAACTTGATAATAGTGATTAGGGAATA